AGAGTGCCTATTTATCTCCTCTCAAGGGTTGGCGAGCTGGGAGGTTGGCAGGAGCTGGGGAGGAAGCAGGAGCTCACTCTGCTGCGCGGAACTGGGCTCAAACCGCTGAAGTGTTGACCATTTCTGGCCGGCAACTTTCAGCGTCACTAAGCTGCTGCGCCACCACGTCCCCTTATAGAAGAATTAGATTACATAATTTAATTTGCTGGTATGTATAGGTTAATAAACCCTGCAGTTTGCAAGGAGCAACAGCCACATTTAGCTACTTAATGGAAACTAAAATGCCAATTCCTATCAAAGGGGTTCTGCAGCCACGTGGAACACTCATGTAAGGCCTTTCCATGTCTTCCAAAAAGAGCAACTGGGCATTTAAACAGGGCTACATTCAGTATTAGAAACATCCTTCCACTCAGGCAATGAAACTTTCTATTGTACCCACCTCCCCTTACCCCTCCCTTAACACAAATTTGCTTTGAGGATCTCCCAAACCTCAAAGCAGATTTGGACTGTATGCAGGGGGTCATTAAGAATTGTTCCAATGGCAGAATGGCACCTTGGCAGTGGAACATCAGACACCCTGAGGTTCTTACTAATCATTATTTGTTAATAAAATTTTTGTCTTTTCAGTAAAGAACTGTCCATCTTTAGCCTTATTAGATATAAATCATATTTATATATTAGGGAAATAGAGTGAACTATTTTAAATGCATCTAGCTTGAGTTGTTTCGGTCAAGCAATGTTATTTTTTCCAAAAAGAAAAATTATTCATATGGTGAAACTAATATCAAAAAACTAATCCTCATCATAACTAATGGCAAACATCAGCAAGTCTATTTTAGCATCCCAACCAATTTATTGTGGCTACAATTTTAAGAAAGCTAAAGTCACAATAATTTGCTAAAGGATTTACTTAATCACATTTGTAACCTGCCATACTCATGGGACACTTATACCTTACATGTTTAAGGTGCCACAAGCCTTATGTAACAAGAGTAACATTCTTCATAAACAATTACATAATTCAGATGAGTATTATCAAATGCAGTGGTTCAGTACCTCTGTCTCTGTATTCAAGGCTTACACACACTCCACCCACTCTTCTACCTATAGTTTGGATGTTTAGTTTTCTGCTCTCTTAAATCTATTGTTCTTGGTTGTTCTTGGATGTATTAATATATCTGATGGTTCCCAATGACTTAAAAGTCATGATCAGCAGTATCCACTGGGATGGGGGGGGGGAGAGAGTCAGGGCTCCCCCCCCCAAAAGGCAAGTAGCAGGAGCAGCGTCACGTTCCAAGCCCTGCCTTTTCTGTCCATGTGAGGGTAGGGCTTGTGTCACAATGCCACTCCCGCCATCTTGCCTTACTTGACACCCCCCTCCCCCCAGACAAAAATGCTAGCATATAGCAGCCTAATATGAGACATGCTTAAGTTCAAGCATAACATTTTAATATTGGTTCTTGAGCTTTTGTTTAATTATTACAAACGGCTGGCAAGGAAGTCAATTTTTTATGCAACTCGTTTCTCTGAATTACAGATGTTCACCTCCTTTTTAAAGTCTCGAAATTGCCTGGGTAGGAACGTGAGCATTAAAAAAAGGAATCATATATCATACAATTTGGGTTTCAGATATGTCAACAGGCTAAAAGTCAAAATGCATGTGGGCATACGTTTATTACTCTCTTTCCACCAGTCTAGATAATGAAGCAAATATTGAACAATATATAATCTATTCATTTTGGACAGCTGCTGCTAGAAGCTAAGCTCAAACATCACTGAGTAAAACCAATTAAGAATATTTTCTTAAAAAATAATTAAACTTGAGAATAGGTAAAAAATATGATTTTCTTTACTAAGACACATTACAGACTAAGGGCAGAAAAAAGATGGTACAAAGTAAACAGTGAAACACGTATCTAAAACAACCATCAGGAATCAAACATTAGATTAAGGAATAAACCAGACTAGTTATAGTAGCAAATGAAGGCCATGGAACTTTTACTCGGAGTCACTTCCTCTGTGACAGAGGATTAGCAAGCATGCAGAACTGCTGTCTCAACATTTTAATAGCATGTATTACAGCCAGGATCATGAATGACAGAAACAGCTTTGATACAAAGTGGCACGCCATCTGCACGATCTTCATGGGAGTCTGCTGGGACCTTCTATGTTGTTCCAGTCCAGCTCAGGAGGAGGAACCTGAATCTAGTTTCAACAGTGATAGAGTAATTGAGCTGTGAAGGTGTTTCCAAGACCTTCTGAACAAGTTTGGGTCATTCCCACTGTTAACTGACTGACAGTCAGCAGACTGACTTAAAGTAACAATTTTTTGTCCAAAAAACTTATCAGCGGTGTGCAAAATGGAATACATTGATGGTGTTTGTAACTCTAGCAATTTTTTTTACAAAACCTCATCACTATGCTTCTTCTTTTTTTTTTATCAGAAACCACCCTTTCCTTCCCCAGTTAAGAATTCTGATTATAATACAAGGGATCAGATTTTGTTGTTGTGAAATACAGTAAGATTAAATCTGTGCTGGATGCACAGAAAAAAAGGGAGATTTAGTTTCCTGTTCACTGTAACGGTACGTGGTATGCTGCAAATGTAAATGTCTTGTCAAAAGAAAAATAACTTTAAGAAAGGAGTCAGTGGGGTTAGGGACTGCTGTGTTTTCCTGCATGTGCACCCATTCTCTGTGGATCTTGAGAAGGATAATGTATGGGGCCTGGAGCCCTCATGAAAGGAGGTGGAGGTCCCATTGCATGAAACATGTGTGGCCCAAAACCTG